AACTAGTGCAGACTACCGCAGGTTCGAATTCGGTCACCACTATTTCTGGGAAGACGTCAGATTGAACCTGTTTTACTTGTTGCAATAACCCCTACCAGCAATCCCTATATAAGGATGAAGCATGGTAATTGTTGTGTCCATTAACTAATCTTTCAAATATGCAATTTCTAAATAAATGCATTAGATAAAATTTATTTTTCTGTAAGTACGTAATATTATGGTAATTATTCTGCTAATTAACATAATCTTTCAAATATGTTATTTCTAAATAATACTGTTTTATGATCATCATAAATAAATTATCGGCGATCGATTGTAAAATTTTGGCGAATTTTCCATTCGACGAATTGCTTGTCGGTGAATTTTCCAGTCGGTGAATTGTTGTTGGTGAACTTTCCGTCGGTGAATTGCAGTCTGTGAACTTTACGGATACCGAGATGCATGGATGGATGTGCAACAGCCTCGCAGCCTTGGCTCAAACAATATGCGCGTTCATTGCATCACAGGATTTCTGGTTCGCGACACCGACAGAACTGTTTTTCAACCTGATTCACTATTTAATAGTTTTTTCGATGAAAATTTCCATTCGTCCATAAACTTTTTTTCACCACATGAAGATGACAACATACAAAGTAAAAGTTGGTAATTGAGGCAAATTTGTTTATGTATTCAGTTTTTTCTTCCCGGGTCAGGTATGTGGTTATCAATTTTTGCAGCGACTAAGTGCATATAGTTGAAATTGAAGTCACGTTTGTTTTCATACAGAGTCGCATGTTCATGCGACTCTGTATGTTAAGACTTCTTTAAGTTCTGCTGTCTTTGGTTTTCAGGAGCGTTTTGACGCGAGAATAGGTACTAGTAACATAAAAAGGTTGTTAAATCTGTTTTTTCTGAATTAATTTATTGTTTCCCTAATTGTAGCAATTCGCGTCAGACGGAACCTCAGCACCAGTCGAGGACGAGGCGTCTGCAGAGAGTTCCACATGTCCTGCTTATGATATGCCTGTGCAGCCGTCGGCCGACATTCCTGTACAGAAGTAATTTTTATCGCAAACGTATTGT